CTGGAGCTGGCGGGCAACGCGGCGCGCGACAACAAGAAGACGCGCATCATCCCGCGCCACCTGCAGCTGGCCATCCGCAACGACGAGGAGCTCAACAAGCTGCTGGGCCGCGTCACCATCGCGCAGGGCGGCGTCCTGCCCAACATCCAGGCCGTGCTGCTGCCCAAGAAGACCGAGAGCCACCACAAGGCCAAGGGCAAGTAGAATCGTGGTTCTACTTGACACACAACTCTCCCAAACCAAAGGCTCTTTTAAGAGCCACCTACGACTTTCTGTGAAGAACTGAACACTTTTGAAAAATCTTCACTTTACCGCAGTTTACATCAATCTCACAACTTCGGTTAAGGGAGAACACTTGATCAAAGTTAGCTTTTGCAAAGCCTGAAATTTTTAAAACCCTATGCTTTCATAGGAATATTCTAAAGACTGGTTTGTATTCATCAGCATTTGATAAATACATTATGGAGGGTCTCCTTGACACTTAATTACTGACGTTCCTAACCTCCCATTTTAAGCCTCAAAGGTGTAAATTCTGGCGGTGGATTTGAGGCAAACGCAGCAGTTTCAAAAACCTTGTTTCTTGTCTCTTGGTAATTTAAGACATTCTGAAGATAAAGGGATCAACCCAAACCTCCATACTAATCCAAAACTATTTTCAGAGCCTTTAGAATTCTGAGGCACACCTAATCTGACCTATTTTCACATTGCTACATTGAGGAAATAATTTTTAATCAGCCTCTTTATTTGAAAAGTTAGGTAGCTGATTAACTTTTTTAAATGCCTTATTAAAATTGTGACTTAAAGGTCTTGATTCACGAATGAAATTAGATTCTATAATTGCCTGCCTTGGTAACTTCTAGCTCAGTAGGCATCAAGATGCATCATGCCATGCAGTGAACCTATCCTATGGTTTTGCCAGTTGCTAACTAGAACTACTGGATGTAGATGCAAAGGGGTGGCTTTGTTTATCCCCATATAGCTTACTGGTGGGGGGGTGGGGGATTAGATTCTTTAAGACAAAGAAATTATGGGGCGCCTGGGTGGCTCAGTCGTTAAGCATCTGTCTTCGGCTCAGGTCTTGATCCCAGGGTCCTGGGATCGAGCCTCGCATTGGGCTCCCTGCTCGGCGGGAAGCCTACTTCTCCCTCTCCCACTCCCCCTGCTTGTGTTCCCTTTCTCTCTGTGTCTCTCTCTGTCAAATAAATAAATAAAATCTTAAAAAAAAAAAAAAGACAAAGGAATTATGAGTAACTATGTTAAATTACAGACATACATGCTTCATGCCCATCGCAGAGCCAGCCTGTCCACCCCCAAATTGAACAAGACAATAGGTTTGTTATAATTTTGAATTTCCAGGATAGCAGAAAAATAAAGCATGCTGTAATGGGATTGTCTTATATTATCTGAAAATGAAAAGAAGTTCATGTAAGGATGTGTTTCTTTGTGAAATTCCTTGCCTTGGATTGCTCACATGCAAATTATATTTTTCTAGCTGAAAAATAAAAACAAATCTTAAATTTTAAGTATTCAAATAAGAAATTGAGAGGAGAGGGTATAGAATTGACCTGTCCTGTGTGGTAAGCACTAGCCAATTGTGCCGGTAATCACTGGGCATGTGGCTAGTCTGACTTAAGTGCAGAATCTATAAAATACACTATTCCGCCGTGTTCGTACAAAGTAAAAAGGAATGTAAAATATCTAACAATTGCTGACTATATGTCGAAATGAATATTTTGGATATATTGGGTTAAACAAAATATTATTTAAAATAATTTTTCCTGGTTTTACCTTGTTCTAATGTGGATCCTAGAAGAATTACTATTTCTTATGTAGCTTGCATTTATTTCTACTGGAAATCGCCAGTAGAAAGCGGACAGAAAACATATATATGAAGGTCATCGGCAATCATAGCAGGGCGTTTGGTACAGAAAAAGCTCGAGTCCTTAACCAATCCGGTTCCCGGTTGTGTAGACTGGTCCCCTTTTGTCCAATCAGCTCCTGGCTCTCACTATAAATGCTCTGACCAGTTTTCACTTCTTACTGGCATTAGGCGTTCAAGCCATGGCTCGCACGAAGCAGACGGCCCGCAAGTCGACCGGCGGCAAGGCCCCGCGCAAGCAGCTGGCCACCAAGGCGGCCCGCAAGAGCGCGCCGGCCACCGGCGGCGTCAAGAAGCCGCACCGCTACCGGCCCGGCACGGTGGCCCTGCGCGAGATCCGGCGCTACCAGAAGTCCACCGAGCTGCTGATCCGCAAGCTGCCGTTCCAGCGGCTGGTGCGCGAGATCGCGCAGGACTTCAAGACCGACCTGCGCTTCCAGAGCTCGGCCGTCATGGCCCTGCAGGAGGCGTGCGAGGCCTACCTGGTGGGGCTCTTCGAGGACACCAACCTGTGCGCCATCCACGCCAAGCGCGTCACCATCATGCCCAAGGACATCCAGCTGGCGCGCCGCATCCGCGGGGAGAGAGCCTGAGCCACATGGTCTGCCCACTCCTTCACAAAGGCTCTTTTCAGAGCCACCACATGCACGCTGAAAAGGCCTGTTTCCCTGTAATCTGTAGTGCAGTTTCATCTGCCAGATAGACCACATTTCCGGGCATTTTACAATTTTGTTTTTAGAAGTATCTACTAAAGTTCCTTATAAGTGCATTTTCCTCTGTCTTGACAGGTTTGTGCTCTGGTTTATACTTCCCCTACTTTACTTGTTGGGCTCTGGTGTGCATCTCACTAAGATCCGCACACAACTTCGTTTAAGTATACGGGAAGACTACTTGCAAATTGCATCGTTTCCTTTTCGACTTTGTGAAGCAGATGGAAAGAAATTTCTAAATTGCATGGTACTTTAGAAGTTGTGTAGTAAGATCACAACTGCTAACTGTTAAATCATCGACCATGATCCTGTTATTTGCCTTCCTGTAAGTGACTTCATCTTAAGTAAAACCTGTGATCTCCACAGCTGGAATTTGGGATGGTGCCAATATTTTACCAGTTAGAAATGTCCTAATACCTTCTTCCAGGAAAAAATATTCTGTGTCCTGTCAGTAATCTGCCTTCCTCTGGAAGGAAAGGTTGATGTGAGCCCTCCCTCACGACTCACTTTCCGCAACATGCACACTTGAGGCCGTGGTGATCTAATCTAAGGCCAAATTCTAACCAGATTGGTATTCTTGAGTGTTAAGCAGTGCCTTCCTTTCATATGGGCTGGGAAACAAAGCACCCACAGAAGTCCCTGTCCCCACTGATCAATACTCTTGCTGGCTGGGCAGAGTCCCCTCTCCTGGAGATAAAGCAGTAAATTGAATTCTCTAAATTAGTCTTTTGGCTCTGATTATATGAAGGTTTATTCAGGAGCAGCAAGTGGTTCTAGTTAAATGTGGACATTTTTAGTTCTGTGGACACGGATACTCCATGCTTCTCAAAACACTCCATGTGCTAAACTGGTCGTCTTGCGGCCTTCTACCTAAGCTCTTTCTGGGCTTCCAAGCTTCTCTCATCACCCCGTACTGGAACTTGAGTTTTGCTATAAGAATGGCACACAAAAACAAACACTCAGTGACACCAGATCATTTTGGCTCGAGCTAATGTGTGGATGGTGGGGCCATCTACTAAGAAGGCCACTGGAGTAGTGATGGTGTTGACCAGTTGGATATGCATTTAGAGTTTCCTGGAGATCCACAAGAATGAACATGCACATCTGAGCTCAGGAGATAAGTCTGGGATGGAAGATTTAGGAGTCATTAGTATATAAGTAGTATTTTAAACCAAGGGAGTGGCCTGCAGATCCCCTCTGGCTCCATCCTGTCCGCTTTATTGCCAGTATCAAACTCCATGTCATTTGCCTGAACATATCACAAGCCATGAGTCTGATGCTCATTCTCTGTGGAGATCCCCAGACTTTCCTCTAATTCCCAATTTCCTTTAACCTTTAGATCAGATGTTCCTTCTCACAGATCTTACTCCTCTATGCCCTCCGAATATCCTGTACTTACGTCTCTTGCTATATTGTGTTTTAATTATTTGCTTTGTGTGATTTTTCCCATTAGACTGAGTTTCTTTTGGATAGGCAGTGTTTTATTGGTGTGTCCTTAATGCACTTAATCACTGAATAATAAAAATTTATAGAAAGTATAAATACATTAAGATTCAATAAAAGAGGAAACAGAAGAAATAGTCTTTGTGTCTCTGTTTCTTGAGATGGCAAAACTAGTAAGTGGAATAAATATTCCAATCCTTTCTGAGGTCTAGAATAAAAGGATTTGCTTTGCCTATATAGAAACATGGACAACATACCAGGATCTTTGACCTCACTATTCTCAAAACAGCCTTTGGCTTTTCAGAAGTGTTCCTATTTTTTTCTTCAAAGTGTGGGTCTCCATCATCAAAACTTGGAATCAAGTTAATAGCGCTCAGTATCATCCTTGTGATCACCAAGCTTGTACTGCTATATTGAAGATCTCATTTGGCAATGTGGTAATGTATGTGCTGTCAGGTAGTAATATGGATAATTAGCACACTATAAATTGTACTTGAATACTTACAGTAAGCATCATTAAAAAATTCTTTAAAGGCAAGTTTTTTAAGATACAAGATTTACTACCTTCCTACTGACAACCCCAACGGGTTTCTGTGTGCCATTTATGGAAACCACTCCTGTATCCCCCCAAAGTTGCTTTGATTTTACAGTAAAATTTGTCACCCATAAACCACCCCCAACTAATTTGCAGATATGGACTGAAGTAACCATCTTGAGTCAATTTTTGTTCTTGTATATTCAATATAAATGACTTTGAAATAATAGTCTATTTAGTTCACAAATGTCAACTTGTTGGCAATGTATCCTAAATACTACAGGGAAGGAAAACAATTTTTTCTTCTACTCTTCAGGTACCCTTCTACCCTACCTGGTTTAAGAAATAAATTGACATAGGACAGATTTAACAGGAGGAAAAGCACATTCTATTACATGCAGAGGCCCACTGAAATTTTCACCCCAAAGAAATGACCAAGGAGGCTGTTTTTATACTTTTTAGACAAATGTGTGAGGACTGGACAGGATAAGAAAACATACTTGGGAGGCTGAATTAGTGAGGAAATAGAAGCAGAATTTGAACTCAGGTAGATTAGTAAAATGTTAACAAGGTTTGTTTCTACAACTCCTCAGCCTTTAGAGTCCACTTAACTCTGGTGACAGGAATGTCTTTTTACCTTGGTATAGGGAGGGCATTTTTCACATAGGTTTAATTCCTGCTTTCGGGTTAAAGGAGAAGGTCCGAGTGTCTATAATCTGGCTGTTTCCCAAGTAGCCTCAATTCACAATAACCAATATGCCATTGTGCTAACTTCCTAGGGCGGGGGCAACCCGTCCTTGGCCACTAAAAACCAATTCTGGAGTATGGACAAGGATTAAGGATTAGCTAGGACTAAAGCCTAACTGGAAATGGGTGTCCCAAATCAACCCGTAGTGATAGCATAGAATGACAAGTGTCACCTTTTTAGGACTATAGAAGTGGCTCTGAAAAGAGCCTTTTGTTCTTTGCTTCTAAACTTCCTCCTCACTTGGCCTTGTGGTGGCTCTCGGTCTTCTTGGGCAGCAGCACGGCCTGGATGTTGGGCAGGACGCCGCCCTGCGCGATGGTGACGCGGCCCAGCAGCTTGTTGAGCTCCTCGTCGTTGCGGATGGCCAGCTGCAGGTGGCGCGGGATGATGCGCGTCTTCTTGTTGTCGCGCGCCGCGTTGCCCGCCAGCTCCAGGATCTCGGCCGTCAGGTACTCCAGCACGGCAGCCAGGTAGACGGGCGCGCCGGCGCCGACCCGCTC